AGTCTGGTTCAAATTCAGTTCAAATTTCGAATCAGACTCGAACCTGACTAAAAGTTCAGTTTGAGTTCAAGTAAATATTTGTTGATGTTCTAAGTAAAGTTGTAGATCATAACATGAGCTACAAATTGATATAAGATAGTTAATATTTAGGATGAATATTTAAGAAGTTATATGAATTTAAAAAATAATTTTAATTATTACGATTTTAATCTACTTTAGTTTTAGTATAATAAAGTTGTAGCCAGAAATAAGAGCTACAAATTGGTATAAGATAGTTATTATTAATAATAATTATTCAGAGAGTTACATAGCATTTACGATCAAATTTAATAAATGTAAAAATAAAATTATTTTAATTATCATTATATAAACTTCTAATTCTTTCTAATATTATAAATTGTGCTTATAAGTAAAGTTATAGTATATATTTAGAACTATAAATCAGTATATGATACTATATACTGATCATTAATCGAACTCGAATCAGATTCAAACTTATATAACAGTTCAGTTCGAGTTCAGTTTGAACTTTGAACCTTTCTTAAACTCAAGTAAAAGTTCAGTTTGAGTTCAGTTTGAATTTTGAACTGAACTTGAATCCAGATAAAAGTCTGGTTCAGTTCAGTTCATAAAAATATTACTGATAGCTTTATATCATATTGTGTCAAGCAAATTACTGTTATTAACTTTGGACTTTATATTGTATTATGCTGAACAAATTGTTATTATTGAATTATTGAGCTTTATATCATATTAGAATTATTAAAATTGGATTATAAGTATTTTTACTTTTTGTTAGTCCGGTTCAAGTTCAGTTTGAATTTTGAACTGAACTTGAACCCAGACAAAAGTCTGGTTTAGTTCAGTTTATAAAAATATTACTGATAGCTTTATATCATATTGTGTCAAGCAAATCACTGTTATTAACTTTGGGCTTTATATTATATTATGCTGAACAAATTGTTATTATTGAATTATTGAGCTTTATATCATATTAGAATTATTATAAGTATTTTTACTTTTTGTTATTTTGAATTTTTAATTATTAACAAATATTCCTTATTCGTGAGAAAAACAAAGTGAAAGAATCTTTGTTATTGTTATTACTAATTATATTATCTTAGTTCTAGAAGCTTTACACAAGTACAGAATCATCCTTTCAAAACCTCTTTATTATTTCTTTATATTCTCTCTTTTCTTTGATCTTTACTTTCTCATATTATTATTCTCTTTCAAGTAAATACAATTTTTGTAGAAATTGGTATAGGTCTTAGATATCCCTCTTTTCTCTTAATATTTTTTTATTAGTTTATACTCTCTTTCAATTCAGATTCTTGTTTGTAAGTTAATTTAATAATTAGTAAACAAACTTGTAATAATATCTTTATATAAAAGAATGCTTTATCAAAATACTAAAAAATTTATTCTTGTATCAACCAAATGGAATAATCTTATTCTCAATTCAAGAAGTTATGATCAAAAATGATAATGAATAACAATATTATATAGCTCAATCAATATTTAAAATTTCTTTTTTGATAATATAATTATCTTCAAATTGTAACTAAGAATAATTATTAAAATAATATCATCTAATTAAATAATTTGCTGAAATTAACTTGTTGAAATTAAATCTAAAATTATTTTAACTTATTTTATTAGTAACTGAAATTATTTTCTGAAATTATTTGAATTCTACAAACTAAAACAAGTATTTATAGATAATTTTTAAGTATTTATTAATATAAATAATATAACAAAACCAAATTATTTGCTAAAATATCATTTTTTTTTAAAATAATTTAGAAAATCATCTTTAATTACAATTACCAGTATCCTTCTCTAAAATATTTGATTGTTCAGAATTTTTTAAAGATTTTAATGAATTAACTCTTTATGAAAAAATAAAAAATTATAATTTCTTCTAGATCAATCATTAAAACAACAGAAATAATAAAACTAGTCAAATTTATAAATTTAATATCAATAATAGAAATTATCAAAGAACAACAATCTAAACTGATTAATAAAGAATAGAAATTAGAACTTGAAGAAAAAATAAAAAAACTTTATAATAAAAAGATAAACCAGATATAAAGATTAATTCAATACTTCAAAATTAGAAAAAATACTTTATAATTATTTAATCAAATGTGAATAATAATTTTAGAAGATTAAATAAACTATTCATCAAAATATTAAACAAAAAATAAGTGAATAATCATACTCAATTATAAAAAAAAATATTCAAATCTTTGGAATTCAAGAAAAAATTTTTTAATCAAAATATAATCTAACATCTGATAAAATATATTAATTAAATCAATATGATATCAGACAATATTTAAAAGATATTTAGAACTAAATTTTATGAAGCAAAATCTTCTGAAGAAAAAACAAATTTTATAGTAGTAATAGTAATTTTATAAATTCAAAGAAAAATTCTAAATTCAAAAAATATTAAAAATTTTCAAAAAAAATAATAATCTTTAAAAATAATATATTAAATATTTATTTCATTACTTTTATTATTTTCATCATTATTTTTCATTATTATTTTATTATTTTTCATTACTTTTTTATCACTTTTCATTATTTTTTATTATTTATTATTATTATTTTATTATTTTTTATTACTTTTTCATTACTTTTTATTACTTTTCATTATTATTTTATTGTTTTTTATTATTTTTCATTAATTTAATTACTCTATTATTATTATTTATCACTTTTCATCATTTTTCATCATTTTTTATTATTTTTATTATTTTTCATTAATTAATTACTCTATTATTATTTATTATTTTTCATTATTTTTATTATTTTCATCAATTTAATTACTTTATTATTATTATTTATCATTTTTTATCATTTTTTATTATTTTTTATTATTTTTATTATTTTTTTTTAGTTTAATCATTTTTTATCATTTTTTATTATTTATCATTTTTCATCATTATTTGTTATTCTTTTTATTTTTTTATTATTGATTAGATAGTTATTATTATTTGAAATTATATTTTTGAGAAATATATAAATAGAGATGCTATCTAAGTCTTAACTCGACATGTTGTAATTGAAAATAAAAATATCTCTTAACAAAAACCTTCTTTCAAACACTTTCTATCTCTTATATTTTCTTTATACACTTCAAATCTTATATATAAGTAATCTTATATTATATTGAATTTATCAAATTACTGATAGCTTTATATTATATTGTATCAAGCAAATTATTATTATTAACTTTAAATTTTATATAATATTATATCAAACAAATTGCTATTATTGAATTATTGAGCTTTATATCATATTATACTAAACAAATTGCTATATTGGAATTATTAAATTAAATTATAAGTATTTTACTTTTTGTTATTTGAATTTTAATTGTTAATAAATATTTCTCATTTGTGAGAAGAACAAAATAAAAGAATCTTTGTTATTGTTATTACTAATTATTATCTTAGCTCTAGAAAATTTTACACAAATATAAAGAATCATTCTTTTAAATTTTCTTTATTATTCTTTTATATACTTTCTCCTCTTTGATCTTTACTCTTTCACAACTTTTTCATATTATAGTAAACACAATTTCTGTAGAAATTGATATAGATCTTAAATATCTCTTCTTTTTCTTTTAATATTTTTATCAATTTATTACTCTTTCCCAATTCAGGTTCAAGTTTGTAAGCTAATTTAATAATCAATGAACAAAATTATAACAATAGTTAAAAATGATTTTATTAAAGAAGATAACTCTAGCTCAAGCAACTTACAAAATATATTAATAGAGACAAATTATAATGTGATAGAAAAAAGAAAAGATGAACATAACTTGTTCAATATAAAAAAAATTAATATTATATTGATATTATATAAGTAGAAGATGAATAATGAAGATTTTATTAGTAACTTTAATGTTTTGATAATGTTATTTGTGAAAAGATTGAAGAGTGTGAAGAAGTATTACAAACTCACATTCAACAAAATACTTAAAAATCAAAGAATGGAAAGAATAGAAAGCTTGTCTTTTGGTTACATTAATTTTTTTTTATTTTATTGAAGGCATTTTATTATTTTCTTGTTAAGATATTTGATATTTCTTAATTTACAAAAAGCTTAAATATAAATATGATAATGACAAGAAGTAATTAAAGTTTTGGTTATTATAAAAAGTTTAAAGTTTTGGAATCACATGACCTGTAACTTTTTTTTCGCCATGACTAGGATATCCAAATGACTCTGATGACAAATGATCATTTAAAAGATCGAATGATCTAACTGGTCATTTCAAAAAGAAGTGATCTCGCAATCTTCTTTTATCCAATAAAATTGAAATTAAACTTTGTAACGTCATTATAAAATGAATAAAACGACTCACTAAAATTCTATTGGTTGAAAAATAAATCACATGACAAATGACCTAAATGACTATAATCCAGGTCATTTCGAGGTCATTTACCATCACTGTAATTTAGTACCGAGACGTTTACAAAAAATTGTGAAAGGCCATTGTAACCGCGATATAGTACAAATTCCAGAATCTTCAAACAGCAACATCAAATAATAATTGAAGAGCAAACAGGAGAAGAGACAGAAGCAATACAACCAAACAGCGTAATACTAGACAACGTTCGCGTTCTGAGCTAGAACAAGCGGATAAAAGCATGTCAGAGGTTTATCAAACGCCAACAAACAAATGAAGATGAAAAGAAAATTCTTGAAGCAATACCCGATGATGAAAACCAGAGTTTTGTTCAAAGTGAAGGATGAACAGTGTCACGCATTCACAATTGGAATAGCAACCGTCGTAAGAGAAAGAATTTTAAAGACGCAAATGTATTTCCTTCGCACCTAGTTAACCCTTCAAGTTCTTAGATTGTGTATGTGTTGGTGTCTTGTTGAAACTGAAAAAATAAAATTCTTTTTTAATATAAAGGAAATCTTTATGATCAAGACGAATCTGAAGTGTATAACAGTGCAATTTTTGTAATAAGATGAGAGCAGTCCACTACCTAAAAGTAAAAGCAGGTTCGAAGTTTCAGTTAGGCAACGGGGGGGTGTTTGCAATAAACAGCTACAGGGCATAGGTCAGACTATCCGTTTACGTGTCTGATCATCGATCAAATGTCACCTGTGTTTCCATGGTTTTCCGGTGTATGAATTTTCTTATGAGTTTTACAATATAACCCTTACCAAAACAATAAACTTTTATTAAGAGATATTGGTTTAATCGAAGCACAAATATAATAATAATATTATTAAACGTAACGAATTAATCGAAGCACAAATAGAATAATTATCACAAAAATAAAGTTCAAGTTTTGATCCACGCCAAGTTGTATCACGTCGTCGCCGTTTCTATATCAGCAAGAATGGTAAAGCATGTCGACAATAGCTTCTACATGTTGTACATTATTTGCTGTCCATTCTTCATTTACATGATTCATCAAACGTTGCAATGCTTCAATTTTAAATTCCACCTTTTGACGTAATAATATCTTCATTATATTCTTGCACATTTTCGGGTCCGTCTTGAGTAAAGCTCTGTTCGGGTCGGGTCGGATCGGGTTTGAGATCAACCCGAACCGATAATTTCGGGTCGGGTCAGATTCGGATCGTGTTTGATCCGAAAATCATAAAATAGTTTTTAACTAATAACTTTTATTTTTACTAAGACACTTGTATTTGGTGTCTAAGTAGAGTTGTTCGGAATGTAATTGTGTATATATCCACAAATTTTCGTTTAATTCCAATTAATATTGAACGAGAAATAACGTTTTTTAGGCTGATCCGAAATATTTGGGTCGGATTTGACCCCAATCCGACTCGACCCGAAATGTGCGTTCCGGGTCGGATCACGGATTGGACCCGACCCGGTTGGAGCACTAGTCTTGAGGCTCACTTCCATCCCAAATTAGAAAATGATAATTTGTTTGTTGTTGCACTTTGTCTGATGCTTTATGGATTAAGTGCTTACAAATAAGAAAGTGAATGTTAAGAAATGAAGGACAACTACACATCTAGCATTGCCAAATCGACAAAGTAATGTTTCTCAACTCCATCAACACATGGTTTTGCAATAAGATTATTCAAAGTCTCAAATCATGATGGTGGTGTTACTTAAACTTGATCACCCAAATAAAATAATCAAGTTGTGGACAATTGAACTAATGAAGGTAACAGTGTTTTAGCACTTTCCAATATGCTTCAATTATCACATTTGTCTTGCCAATTGGTATTATTTTTTATGTATAATGTGCCCTAGTACCCAGAATCGATTCTAAAATTGATCAAATAAATTCGTTTCTATATCGATATACATGTACACTGTAATGTTGTTGTAACTCGAAACTCATCTTTTATACTGAATCTCTTAACAAACTATAAAAACGAACGAATTAATTTTGTTCACATGATCCTTTTAATTACCAATACGTATATCGATATTGCCTATCGATTACAAATCTGGAATAGCTATAGCGATAGGGAGCTAATCCAAAACTTCATTATCGTTATCGTGAACAAATCACAATCAGAAAACTTCATTATTCGATTCTCATAGAATAAGTCATGTCCTTTGTATAAAGAAAATAACAATAAAATAAACAATTTTTAAAAGTAAAAAAATCTTAAATGCTTTTATTATAACTTGCAGGCAAGTGAACGGAAATGAAAATTTGTTCTTAAGCTCATTAAATACTGTAATTTCAAAAAAATCATTTAATCTGCGAACTTGTAAAATGGGGACGACCGGTTGTGAAAAAATAATTTGATAGAACACATTGTATAATTCTTTATAGAATGATTCTGATGATTGGTTAATTTAAATCTTAGAAGGAAATGACAAAAATTGTGACCTAAATACATGGGTAAATATTTACATATTATTGATGCTAGTTTGACAATTGAGTCAAATCTCATTTTAGCCTAACAATAACTTCTACAAAACTTGAATTGATATATACGAATATGAAAGAAATCATAAAAATCTTCAACAAAACTTAGATCAATTTAAAGCTTAACTCGTTTTAAAAGCCAAAATTGGTATATTAATTATCACCAAACTAGGCAATCGTATGAAATGAAGACTCAAAACCCCACACAGTTTATAACACTGATCAAAAATATTTTTTTACCTAATTAATATCAAGGTTAAATAATAGTAAAAATGCAACTTTATCATTTTTTACCATTATTTTGCCTTAATATTGCCCAGGTAAAACAATTTTTTTCGACCAGTGTAATGAACTTTCCAAAATCACGATCAGTTGATTGAAGAACACGAAGAGCTTAAAAAAATACGAGAAGTCACAGATTTACAGAATAAGAAAGAAAATCTGGAAACAAATTAACAAGAATAATCAGAAAATAATCAACAATCTGAATGAGAAGGTTGGATTTCTGTATCAAGAAATCTAAGAGCGTTTTTCCGTATTTCTAAATACTTTTTATTCAGTAATTGATACTTTCAAGTCAGTATATATAGCAAATCTTTTCGTAAATATAACAACTTACTCTAAATTATGATAATCCTTAATATACTAAAAAAGCATGATTTTGGAAACAGTAAACATAATTAGTTCTCTATATAATTATATCCAATATAATAAAAAAATTAACTATACCTCTTTTAAATTATCTGAATCAAGCTTTTTATAACAATTAAAACATATCTATTTCAGATAGTTTTAAGAGTATTCTATTCTTGAAACTAGAAATAAAATAATAATATTCTTATAATAAAGATTTAAAAACTTGTAATAGTAATAAATTGAATATTTTTTGAAGCATTTTTCAAAATAATAGACAAGATCTAGAAAGAATAGTTAATTTAGAAAAAATGGTTTTTGAAAGAATTTTGAGTTGCTTATTTTGAAAACTAAAATATTTTGTGAAAGTTAATTGGAGAAGGAATAAATATTAAAGAAATAATAAAAATAAGTTTGCTTCATTCTGAAAAGAAATAATACATGTAGTTTGTATATTTTTATAAATATATTTGTTTATATATCTTTGTAAGATATATAATCTTAATTATAAATTATTACAGTTTTGATATTTTTCATAAATTTCTTCTAATTAGTACATGTTTATATTGATCAATAATATCTGTATTTCTCATAATTTTTTGCTTATAAAAATAAATTTTAATATTAATATTAATATTAATATATAATAAGTATAACTGAAGTACAAATATTATATAATAAAACATATAAGAGTGTATATAATTAGAAGAAGTGTTATATGATAGTACATCAAAAATAATCAGTTTTCTATAAAATTTGCTGGCTTTTAAGAAATGCAATATGTATATAAAACCAACTTGTGAATTACTAAACAATCTTTTTAAAAAGATAGCTATCATACAATATTAGATAATGAACTTAATGAATAGTTGATATTGAATTAGCAAGAAGAAATGCTAATGGAACAAAATTCAAGTTAGAAAAGAAAAAAGCATTTATGGTTAGTATTTAAATCGGGATATTTATTATTTCTTCACTTTTCACTAATTTATATGTTTATCAATGATCTATTTGATTAATTTTTGTCATGAGTCTAAACAAAATGTCTAGTGATTCTTCTGATTTTCAGAATTATCCTTGTCTCTCCTCTCCATCTTCATTATTGTTAAGATCGTCTCGAGGCAATGTGGAATCTTACGTTAAACTTTTAAGTTAGGAAAAAATATATAAATTAAAAAAGTGATGCTACAACTAAAATGCTATTATACTTGCCCGTGTCATTATTATTTGAGCCTAGGTTCTATCAGTTCTAATACTTTTTTTGAATGGCTATTTTTTTATTTTTTCTCATCTTCGTTGATTCCTATCAGTCTTTATTATATTGCAGTAGTGCGAGTGTCAAAGTTTCCTTCCTACTTCAAGATAAGGGTACACTTGTAGTGTTTGGTTCTTAACGGGATTTCTCATACACAAGCTCCATAATAACACGAAATCTAACATTCGTATGCATACAATTTGTAACAAAGCAGGGCCTAAGGTTTTTAGCTTTTATTTTACAGCCGACTCAAAAGTATCGACCTAGATTTCTTGCATGTACTTGATTTTTCACATTTTATATGTAAAAATATTAGCCAATCATCTTTAATGAAGATGTGTAACACATTAAATTTGTTTCCACGTGGTCATGAAAGAATACTTCACGTCTTGAGTTAATTTGTAAATTGACCGACTACGTATTTCCAATAAACTTCATTGTACTATTTGAACATATAAATTATTGTGTTCATATGGTATTCGCTTTTTTTATTGGTATTTTTTTTTCAATTGTGTTTTTTATGGTTAGTTATTTTGACTAATGACTTTTGTAAAAAAGTTAAAACTAGCACAAATATATTGAAAAACACGAAATTTATTTAAACTCGACAGGTAGGGGGAAACAGTTCAAATTTTCTGTAAAACTCCCAATTATTATCTTTTTTGATATCTTTTTGTACCTCTTGTTCCCGCACGTTTCCTTCTGACGTATTTATACAAATGGAAAAGCATATAAGACGTGTACCAAATGCAGAATCACGAAAGTTGATAAAGGAAGAAGCGTTTCTACTAAGGATGCTTGCCGAAATTTTCAAATAATTTGGCAAAATGCAATGTCGTATTTTGCCATAGAATTTGTTACCGTATGCTTAGGATTCTGCTGCTAATTCAATGTTTCAATGTTGCATTTCACCACGAAATTCGTCACCGTGTGCTTAGGGTTTCGTTGCAAAATCCAATGTCGTATTTCACCGGAATGGGATTGCCGATTTGGATTTGTTGTTTATAGGAATGATTTTCATCTCATCAAGTTCCATCCATTTTTTCTTTTCTAGTTTGAGACGCTCAATAATTTCTTCGCGTATCTTAGAGTTATAGTACTGAAATGCAAAGTGTTCAGTTCTGTATAAATTGAGGAGTTCCTCAGCAGTTGGTCTGTTTTTTGGGACATTTTTCAATAATAAATTTGCAACATCTAAGAACATTACGCAAGATAATGATAATGGCTCCGTTCCGCTCACCTGTGGCAACCTCATACATGATCATCCCCGAACTATGAATATCTGCAACTTTAGTGTATGGCTTCCTCTTAGCACCTCTGGAGTCGTATAAGGAAGTACTCCACAATTTTTTTATCATATTTTCTATTCCTGCTAGTTTGGAAAGTCCAAAATCAGCAATGAAAGCATGCTTATATACTAATGCCATATTTCCAGGTTAATGAAAGTCACAATGCACAAATTTTTCATTTTGAATTTTATTCAAACCTTCAGTAATCTGAACTAAATAACTTAATTTTGAAATGTGTAATGTGTAATGACTTCAACTTCAATACAACAGCAGCATTGAGTTCTTTATCTCATTTAAATTTATCTTCTTCATGATCCCAAAACGCAGTAAATTGTTCAAAACCTCCTTTTGCAAGATATTCAACATCGGTAAATTTTTCAAAAAGGGATCATTCAACAGAAGTTCGTTTGAGACATTCGTATTCGATCCTGAAGAACACTGTTATGTGTTATATTATTATATTGACAATTCTTTGAACAACTAAAATCGAACAAAGACACAGCTCATCCGAAATAAACTTCAATGTCAATAATAACGATATAATATTTTCCTCGTTTCTCTTAGAAATGCATAAATGCATTCATTTGTTCGCTCACTCATTGCTTGAGAACAAGGTAAATAAAGATTCACTACATTATCGTCACCCAAATTTACACCTATCCACTACAAACAAAGAATTTCTTCGATAATTTACATGTCTGATTTATAATACAAATAATCAGAACTCAAAGTTTTAATTGAGTACTCATAATGGTAATGTTTCCGTCAAAAATTGGGTACTGCTAAATATCACAAACAAATAGAGCTGGAAACGCATTTCCGAACGGATCATGAAAAAATAAATTTAAACTGAAATATATATACAAGAAGCTGTGTTGAAATCATTACGCAAATTATATTTGAACTTATAAATGAGGTAAAATGAGCACTACTGAAGCTCAAACATGATGCCTTTTTGTTTTTTAATACAACTAAGTTTATCAAAAATAGGTTCTGGCTGCTCTATTGTGCAGTCTTTCTTCTAATATTATATAATAGCTAAAAATGAATACTCAATCGCAAGGAATACACACTGCCACTTAAGTAAAGATGGATAGCTAGACCTACGCTCAAATACACACTACCATCAAATGGTTCAAGCAACGACAAGCAAAACGGACTATCCATCCGAAACCCTAAACCAACGAATACGCCCATCACGATACCAATTCAAATAATAACTGGCAATCGAAAAATCCATAGAATCAATCCCATGACCAGTGGAACTCCAACATTCAATTTTACAATTGTGGACGTTTTGATGGGGTATTCGGTGGATTATATAGATCAAATTTATGCAAGTTCATCGAAAAATGATTAGACCAAATTTTCGTAACATTGTGTAATATACATATACGTATATGAAATACATACAGTACATAACACTTAAATTATAAATAAATATTTTTAATTTTTATTAATTCTTCATATATAATCTCCGATAAATCACGTGATTTTCCTAAAATGGAAAATTTTTATTTTGGCAAGATAGATGAACTAAAACATCTTGAACTAATGAGACCAAAAACATAATTTAAGATAGTATTCAAAGAAGTCAGCCTCGTTAAATCAAATAAAAAAATGAAAATTCTTATTATGTTATTTGTATAAGTTTTTTTTCTAATAATTAATCATAGTATTTTTCCATTAATATGACAATTTATTGGTTTTTGCAAACTTGACAGATTTGTTTTCCTAAGTTTACCTATTGATTTATCAATAAAGAACTTTATTTATAAAATTATTACAAAGTTACAATAGTTAATGAGAATATAATAGAAAAAGTATATACAAATTAGTATCTGTATTAATAAACTTCTTTTAAATACCAAATTACAGATAAATAAGCTTCTGCTTCCTCTTTGAATAAATCAATTAAAATATCTTCAGGATATTTTTCTTTATCATCAGTAAAAAATAGAATTATGACTTCTTGTAAGTTTTAGTTAATATTTTTTTTTAATAACTTTCTTTATAATTACAATTATTATATTAAATAATTATATATAATTTGTATCTTTTTTTTTCTTTTATCCTTAATTATAATCATAATTATACATATTTCTATATGATAATTCCAATATTAATATAGTATCTTATTAATATAATCATTTAATAAATTACTAATTAATAATTAGTGCTTTATCTAATTAATTACTATAAGAAAAAAATAAAATTAATTTTATTACATGTATAATTACAATTATCAAATTAAATAATTATATATAAGTTACTCTTTTTTTTAAATCTTCCTTTATTATTCAATTATTATTATATTATAATAAAGCAAAAATATATAAAAAAATATAAATAATATAAAAAAAGATCTATAAACTTCAATAAAAATTAAAAATTACAAATAATATCTTTTAATAAATTAAAAAATTTCTTTTTTATTATAATTAATAATTTGATTATATTATCAAATTAGATTATTTATTAGAAAAAATAATGTATTATTTAGAAGATTGATTATTAAGAATTAGTTTTGGTTTTGATAATATAAAAATGTATTATTTTAATAAATGACAAGTTTATATAATTACTATATTATATAGATATTACTATTAACTATTATTTTACTAAGCAAAAGATGAATCTATTTATTTGTAAATTAGATTAAAAACTATAATAAAAATTATTTAGCTCAAAGATATAAATATTAACAAAAGTATATAAACTAAAGAAATTAAAACTATAATTATCTATAATGATTTTACAATCAGTATTAATATTATATTTAAAAAAAACTGAAAGTATTTATATTTATAAAATAAACTGCTTGAAACAAATAATCTAAATATTAATCATAAAGCAAAAAGTTGAAAAAAAAGCCAATTGAAAAGTAAAATGAAAGTTCATTACTAGATAATCAAGTATAATAAAGAATGATATAAATATTATGATAATATAATTTGTTACTATTAGAATACTAATATTTTATATTTGATATTTACACATATTAACTTTTCTTCTTTATTCATCTTTGTCTCAATTTTTTTTTCACTTTCATTAAGTTCACTATCTTCCTCTTCTTTTAAAGTTTTTTGCATTTTTTATCTTTTTTCTATCAATTTTTTTTTCTTGTTATTATATTCTTGAAGTTTAATGAGATTCTTTGATTGGCAAGGTATTATTACATGTAGATATTAAATTAATATGAATTCTGTAATTAATTAACATAATCTTGCAATTTGATTGATTAATCACAAATTCTGTGATTAACCAAAATTTTATTGGTCAATTCAAGATCACGATTTTGTCTTATTTTGTATTAATCATATGAAAAGAGTTTTTAAAATCAATAACAAAAAAGTTTTTTGAAAAAGGAGACTAGTAATCTGTAGTAAATTGGTTTAGTTACAAATCTGCGACTTCCTTTTTTTTGTATCATCTCTGTATAAAATTTTATTAACTTTTAAAAATTGTTAATTTATTTCAGTTTTTAAGTGTCAGATATTAATAATTTTTTAGTTTTTTAAAAAAAGCAATATTACTTTAAAATATGCAAAAAACTATTTAACCATTAACGTTAAGAAAGTACATGTATGCTATTTTATCAACCAATAGAATTTTAGCAAATGATCTACAAAAATTAGCCAATCACAAAGCAAGCACGCTATATACATGCAATGCCGGCCGCTCGTTATGACCGCTACTGTATTTACAAAATTATTAGCAAAGTCCAATCTTTGTATTCTTTTGCTAATATCAAAATGTATACTACATGTAATAAAAATACTATATGTATCAAGTTCTTCAACATTTAAACGCGTTTCTCAACACACCCACACTATTTCTAATTTTTTCAAAAGTCATTAATACTGTTTCTGACATCAAAATATATACCAATTTAAAAATCACCAATAAAAAAAGAGCCAATACCATATGAACGCAATAATTTATATTTTAAAATAGTACAATAACACTTGAACGTGTTTATTATAAAGTTTATTGGAAATAATCGGATTACAATTTAACTCAAGACGCGAAGTATTCCTTCATGACTACACAGTAAAGAGAACGAAAAAATTCATTTTCTTGTAAGCGGAAAATCAGGAACCCCATATGTAGTACACGTACAAAATGACCTGTTATTGCTATTCTATTTTTACTTTTACATGTACAAGAACAAAGGACAAGATACATGTACATGTACATGTGTCTGTTTCAGAATTTAACCAATGAAATGTCAATTTTAGAAATAGTTATAATCGAGTATCGTATACATGTATGTACATGTATAAGCTAATTTTTTGGGCGTCATTTGTTATCGTTATTGTTAATCCGTATTCTGCCGTGAATAAACACCACCACCTTATTTCAACCAAAAACCAGAACAATATACGTAAACCAAATACATGTACGTAATAACGATAACGATAAGCACCACTATGTTTAAATTACATGTACAATAATATCTTAAACGGTTATAATTTTGAATTGCGAGGAAATAAGCACCCGTTTTTTAGAGACCAAAAAGTGGTGCTTATTCACGGCAGAATACGGTATCCCGAAAATAAGTTACACCAGTTTATACTGAGATTGCGCAAGCTTTCATTGTGTGTTGTGTTAAATCTGGTACATCATTCAGGTTTTATACATGTATTTAAATGACATACATATATATAGTGCCAAATTTTTTATTTACAAATCTTTTTTATCATGAATTTTCTTCAAGATATTGATATTGAAGAAAGACAAGAACTCACTGATCTTAAGGAAATACGTGAGGTATTTTACGCCGTAAAAGATCCTGGACCATATTCATCGGATGAAAACATAATAAAAGCTGTCGACGAATGGATCAATTCCAAAGAAACAACGCGAAAAAAAGTATTTCAATTACTTGGTAATAAGATGGATGATCCTAGCTACGCATGTATACTGGGACTTTTTCATCATTACGGTATTGGTGTCCAAATAGACCGTTCGATGGCATTTACCTGTTATCGATTTGCTGCTGAATCTAAGTCCGACAACAATGCATTTGCGCAAAATCAAGTAAGTCTACATTCTCTCTTTAATTTTTTCATCAATTTGTATATTTGTTATGTTAGAATTTAAATTAAATATATATCTCTTTAGCTAGGCTATTGCTATCGTGATGGTCTCGGTACGATAAACAATAGTGAAAAAGCATTTGAATGCTTCAAAAAATCAGCAGAAGGAGGCCACATGTGTGGAATGCGGACTCTGGCGGATCACTATTATAATGGGTGGAATTGTAAGAAGAATTTCCGCCGAGCCTTTTTTTGGTACTCGAAGGCATATTTTAATGGCAACTCAAGATCAGTTCAAGGGCTTTTTAATTGTTATGAAGGGGGCTATGGAACTCGACGTGACCTGCATGAAGCTTTATATTGGGCAAAAAAAGACCAAGATGGGTCTACTCTTTGGCTTTTGCCGACTGACTAATTTATTATATCACGAAATTCATTATAACAAAGTCTTTTTACAGTTTATATAACAAATTTATTAACACGGGACTAGAAATATTATTCGTTACAGAGCAAAATGCATTCGTTATACGTATCGAGGGTGACTCTCATTTATACGTGTTGTATATACCATAACTAAATAAGCAGCTCCATTAAAATTATTTAAAACTATTTTATTTTATTATTACTCGTTGTCATTAATATCAAGCTCAATTAATCCTTATCGTTTTCTCCTTTCACTTCTTCCTCAATATTTTTAATATACATGTACTCAACACATAGGATATACGTATGTACCATATTTTTTGAATGTTTGATTGATGATACTGTTACAATTGTGTTATAAAATTCGTTAATTCCATAATCCGTAATATTTCATGAAATTATGAAAATCATGTAAAGAACTTAGAACTTTTCACAATTTCTTTATATATTATTAATTATAGTATTCGTGTATTTTATTTTTCTACTTCGTACTCCTATACTTTTTATACTTTTTCTATCTTGTACTCCTATATTTTTATACTTTTTCTACTTCGTGTTCTTATACTTTTTATACTTTTATACTTTTTCTATTTCATACTTTTATACTGTCACCATTTGATATTTTGGATCACATGTAAAATATCATGTGACATATTTTGATAATCATTTATATTTCCTTTTATATTTTTCTATTTATATTTTT